GCTTTGGGTGAGAACGCTAATCGTTCTCCTGTCTAGGCCTGAGCAATCTGACAGTATCCCGCCCAAGAAATACTATGAATCATTCGCCAAACAATTTCTTGATGCTCTGGCCACCGCAGATGATAATCAACGGTGCCCTATCTGCTGCATCGAGCAGGGTGGATAGGGCTTTGGATGCTACGACTCAAGCCTTCCCGTCTTCTTATTCTCCCTCTTACGCTTTTTCACTCCTACCGTCCCATTCCAACTTCACTTATATCCCCCCGGTTTTCAACCCCCCGATTCTTGGCCCTCCCCCAACCTGCTTTGCTAGGCATTTACCTTCTAATTTCAAATCACGCGTGAACGCGGAGCGTCACTCCTCTCCTGTCGACAAGCTCATGTCCAACCAAGCGGTCCAATCCAGTTCATCGGCTTCCATTTGGAGCCCTCGATCCTCCTTCAGATTGGCATGCCTCAATGTACGCACACTGCTACAAATCCGTCAACAGGCAGCACTTGCCCGAACATTAGAGACCCACTCGATCGATATCTGCTGCTTATCGAAGACTCGCCTGCAAGACTCGAGCACTTTGCTCACTCTGCGATCCCCTTCAGGTGACGCAAGCAGTATTTTCTCATCGCGCCTATCCGGTGACGATGCAGCTTCGAGCACCGGCCAAGCTGGTGTTGGCATTGCCCTGAGTCCCCAGGCTGAAGCTGCTCTGGTTGATTGGATTCCAATCAGTAGCCGGATGTGTGCGGTCCGATTGGCTGGCTCGTTTAAAGCTTCGAAGTCTTGCGGTACTAATAGGTGTCTATTCATCATCGCTGCCTATGCGCCCACAAACAGTAGCGATGATTCGGTAAAGAACGACTTCTACCGCCAACTGACCCAGCTCCTTCGCCACAGAAGAAGCACGGACACTGTTGTGCTGGCGGGGGATATGAACGCACAACTTGGAAAGTTGTCCACCGATGAACTGCATCTGGGCGGTCAACACGGTGTAGGCTCCCGTAATGATAACCGTGAGCGGTTACTTCATTTGTGTGAAGATGCTCGCTTATTTCTTGCGAGCACTAATTTCCGACACAGCACCCGCCGAAGGGTGACTTGGCGCCTACCAGCCTCGAATCAGCCTTGGACGCAGATCGATCACATTGCGATCAGTTACCGATGGAGAGGCTGCATCCAGAATTGTCGCTCGATTTGGAGCACATGTGTGGACACAGATCATGCACTTGTATGTGCTGACACGCGCATGCGTTTTGGCGGACGCCCACGACGACGCTGTGAGCGTATTGACACCAGCCAACTGACAAAGCCAGCTGTTCTGAATGCGTATCAAAGTACGCTGACATGCGAGTTGAGCAAGCGCTCAAAGGAGACAATTGATGGTCACTGGTCACATGTTCGCCAGACTTTACTAGCAGCAGGCAAATCCTCATGTGGTATGTCTAATAGACAACGTGGACATCGGGTCTCTTCGCAGTCTCTGGAACTTATCGACGCTCGCCGGCATATTCCGGCTGGAAGCGAGCACAATGAAACTCGCAACGAGCTCCGAGCTAAACTCCGTGCTAGCCTGAAGAGAGACCGCGAACCTTGGTGGTCTCATCATGCGTCAGCGATGGAAGTGGCCGCTGCCCTTGGAAACCATCGTAAGTTATTCCGTCTGATACGGGAAACGGGCAGCAGGAGACCTGGTGTCAGTGAAACTATACGTGACGAGAGTGGACAGCCTATCCACAATTTGTCAAAACGTTTGGAGCGTTGGGCTGAGCATTTTGAAAAGCAATTTAATCGGCTAGAATTGTTTGATTCTTCGCCAGTCACTGATCGCCCTGCTCCGTGGGCTGTCCCTTCGGATTCACCCTCTCGCTCAGAAGTCGAACGCAAGATCGGACTGTTGAAGTTGAACAAAGCCGCGGGACAAGGTGATCCTCCTGCAGCACTTTTCAAATTCGGTGGCTCTGCTCTTGTTGATGCTTTGCATGAATTACTAGTGAAACTGTGGGAGCAGGAGATTGTCCCAACCGACTGGAGCCGCTCCGTTATTGTTCCCATCTTCAAAGGCGGCTCGCGCTGGGAATGCAGCAACCATAGAGGAATCAGTCTGATTTCCATCGCCTCCAAATTACTCGCCTCTATATTCCTTCACAGACTGACTGGCGCTCGTGAAAGCCAGATTCGTGAGGAGCAAGCCGGATTTCGTCGTGGTCGTGGCTGCATCAACCACATCTTCACCTTACGTCAGTTGTTGGCGCACCGTCACACATATTGGTGGCCCACCGTAGTCGTGTTCCTCGGCATCAAAGGTGCCTTCGATTCGGTTGATCGATGTGCCCTTTGGAATTGTCTACTCAGGAAAGGTATGCCCGAGAAATATGTAAATATTATCCAAGCATTATATGCGCGTAGCTCGGGCAGAGTGAGGGCTTACGGCAAGCTGTCACCACCCTTCAATATCTCCAGCGGTGTGAGACAAGGATGCCCGCTGTCACCTTTCCTCTTCAACTTCGCCATTGACGAAGTCATGGAGATTGTATTTACAGGACATGACTTGGAAGGTGTGGAGCTACTCCCAGGAGAACGACTTCTTGACTTGGAGTATGCAGACGACATTGCCCTCATATGTGACAGCTCCCAGACGTGCTAAGCCGCGCTGGGCTGATTAACACTGGCTGTCAGTTGCTTCGGGCTTTGCTTTGCACCACCGAAGTGCAAAGCGTTCCTCCAAGATTGGCTGGGATCGCCCCCTGTGCTGACCCTTGGTAAGGATCAGCTAGAAGTCGTTCAGAAATTCAATTACCTGGGAAGTTGTATCAGCGCCCTTGGGATCCAAGACGAGATCACGAACTGTATAGCAAAAGCTCGAAGTGCTTTTGCTAAACTTCGCCACCTATGGCGGCGGCGCGACATCACTCTCGCCCTGAAGGGTAGAGTGTACAATGCAGCGGTACGTTCGACGTTACTGTACGGTTGCGAAACCTGGCCCCTAAGATCGGCGGACATAAGGAGGCTAGTTAAGTTCGACCATCGGTGCCTTCGCAGTTTCGCTCACATCTGGTGGGAACATCTCGTGAGGAACGAGCATGTTCGACGCCTTATTTACGGCCCAAGAAAAGGGAATGAACCGCTCAGCACCGTTATTTCCCGCACCAGACTCCGATGGCTGGGCCACGTGTTGCGCATGCCAGCCCACCGACTCCCTCGACGTGCGTTGTTTGCTCACCGGGGATGTGGGTGGAAGAAGAGGAGAGGTGGCCAAGCGATGACTCGGTCCAGAGCAATGAAGCCCCTCACTTCGGAGCTAGCATCGGTTGGAGCTTCACGGCTCCCTGCTTGGGGTCCAAAAGACGGTGAACACTTTTGGCTGGATACACTTGCTGACATGGCAAGGAGCCGACCTCAGTGGGGTTCCTGCTGTGAGTTTCTTTGTCCCTCCCCATCCCTTTTAGCCTCCCCCTCCATCTACGATCTTATTTCGTAGTGTAAAACGTAATTAAATTTTTTGTTTTTGCCTAGTAGCCGGCTGGTAGCTTACCGGAACGATGCCTATCCGTTGCTGGTGGCTCATCTGGCATGCGACTGTCGTATTTATTTTTCCTTTATGTATTGTATGTATGTATGTATGTATTTTCTTTATGTATTGCGGTACAATAGCGGAGGTGTTTTACCACCTCTAGCTGACATGTATAATGATGATGATGATGATGTTGATGCTGATGATGCTGATGCTGCTGCTGCTGCTGCTGATGATGATGATGATGATGGACCCATTTACCTCCTCTATAGTACTGTTGTGCAACAGGAATCCGAAACTTTTAACATGCGGCGAGGCATTACTGATGAGGAGGAATCGTCTAACGCTTTGTGCATAGAAACAGCTGAGACAATTACTTAGCTTGCGAAAGAGTTGGCTGCGTTACATACGGCATTTTCGTGTATACTAAGGCGTAGTAGGGGTTTGGTAGCAGTAGAGATAGCTAATTACGGTCCACTCCGTCGGCAGGCTTTGGCAAGTTTGGAAAAGCACAAGGCACGGGTTTTTCGACCTTCTGGATCTCGTCAGTGGTGCGCATTCCAGCGGACCCTTGCCGCCCCCATGACATCCGGATGCTAACAGCTAGTGCACCTTCGCCATGAGTGATAGCCGGGACTCTGCATGATTGGCAGTTGACCGTGTTATAGCCTGGATCATTTTCCCCGGCCATGTAAGTTAGGAACTTGCGGATGAGAGCAGTTAGATCCACGAGCTAGGACTTTCCACATAACACCTTGGTATGACGTAAGGACTTAGAAGTTAAGCTCCTACTCCATATTACTTCATGTGTTTAGCGCCTGTATCGCGTTGGGGTGGAGGAGAACAATCGCATTGGTGACATTTCGTAACTTATTTCTTCTCACTGTATTGATGCAGTGTACAAAGGGGACCTAGGGTTTTAAAGTTCCCAAAAATAAATGAAGCTCAAGCGAGAGTAACAGAATTGCAAAAACTAGCCGACAAACATACAATCACCACCGCCTAAAATGAATCAAGCTGAGCGTGTTTATAAATAGAGCAGGCTGAGACAGAACCGAGAGCAAGTAATGAACACAGCGTGTTGACTAGTAAACATATGGTGGCGATCAGAGACGCAAAAACGTCAACTAGTCCATGACAACCTTCCACACTGAAACATATCTTCAAACCTATGTATAATATAAATGATCCTATTAGTTATACGTAACGGATTCGTGCTGGATACGGATCCTTTTGATGAATCATTTGGTGCCACAAAAAGCGGGGCGGATATATAGGCAAAAACGTCTTAGTATGATCTACTATGTATTTAAGGCCACTGCGCATTTCCAGTCTTCATTTCCCTCGTATGCAGATTTCAAGGGCAGTTCTATGTTATGACTTGCTCAACTATTTTGAGTATGTATTAAAACACTGGACACTGCCGTGACATATAATGTTTGTATATTCAATTGTTTTGTTTCTGCTTGGTCAATTATTTTACCCGTAACTCACGGAAGCTGCATCGATTTCTTCCAAATCATCCACGATTTTTTGGCCACAAGCGTCCAACCAGTCGTTAACATTTTGCTGACTTCTAGCGATGACATTATCTGAGAAACTCTTTCTGACTTGCTCCTTCCTTTGAATACCGGATGAAGTATCGGGTGCATCGACGCACAGCCTAGTATTACCAGCCTCAAACAATTGACCGCTCAGTTTCTGGCGTTCGGATTTTACGGAAGGTGTTTTAGTTCTCCCAGAGTGTAATTTCTGTTGTGCACATGAAAAGAGGATTGGCTGCGATCGCACACATGTTACAAACAAGGTTAAATCGAACGTTCGGTACAGTGAAGCAATGAGCTTAGAATTAACTGTGAAATTCTCATCTATCTTAACCTATAGTTATGCAGCGAAATATGTCTTTAAGTAAAAGACGCTTTTTGCCAATTGAGCTTTAAATTAGCTCTAAGTTGTTAAAAATAAGCAATTTTAACAACCCTAAGACCTGTAAAACAAGGATAAAATATTTTTAAAGACGCACTTTTCCTTTCTCGTAATCTTAGTACCAAGAATACCTCCCTAGTACAAGCTAAAGGTCAATTTTTAGCCAGAAAGAAGCAAACAGATGCATCACTACAACGTTGGCTTAGTGGAGTGTCTTGTTTGACAAAACCAAGTTCATCCAATTTTAGTTGAAATGAGAATATATTGCCAGTACGTTGACACAATCGAGGTTGATGGAGCATAGGAGGTGCTTTGTCTTCTCATTTGGACAAACCTCGATTGACTGTCTGTCTATCTGTCGCACGTACGCTTGACATGTGAAAGTTCCATGAAATATATAATGTCTGACTTCGCTTGACGTGAATGTTGATAAGGTGCCCAACTGTCTGGCACCCTCCACCGCGATTACTGAATCCAGCAGACTATAAATCGTTGTCGGAGGGCGGGGTGGACGGGCGTACGGTCCTCGTGGCCATGCTAGGCTCAAAGAGTGGTTCCATGCACTCCGTGTGGATCGGACAACGGTTCAGCCACCGTCTTGTGTACCTCTGGTAAGCATTGTTTCACATTTAGGTATGAATGCTTCGGGTTTACTTGTTGAAGTAGAGTGGGCTGGTTCTATTGATTAAACCTAGTTCCCATTCACATGCCTCTCGATGCTATTCCTTCGGGTTTACACTAGAGATGTGGTGTGTGGTTGGAACTGTGGGTTGTGCAACGCAAGCTACTAATAGTCCCTCTGTAGGTACAGGCGCCCCTTGGAAGCCTCATGACAGACAGCTCCGGACACGGATGCCACTAATCCATGTATGTGTATATACTGATTTCAGGTGTTGGAAATTGATGGTAGTGGATCATCGCGACTAACGATAGGATAAAAAGTGGGCGGTTGCCCGGATGCATGAGAAACTATTACCACGTGCAGAACAAAAATAGTCAGTTGAGGAAGCAACAGATGCCGATGGTTGATAGCCCATCGACGTCGAGCGCATAGTGCTGTAATACATGCGGTCGAGGGTGCCTGAGCCAAGCTGCCTTACTAAGTCACCAGCGTCAGAACGTTGGGCTAACATTCAAGAGAAGATGAATAAGCTAAATAAGTGCTCAACATCAGCACAGATCTCAGAATGTTGGCTGATTCCGCTTCATTTTATTAACCCGGGCCACTAAAGCGGCGGATGTGTTACGTTCACCGCATCGTCGTTTTAGTTTGTCTCTGTGAGTTGTTTCTTACAGTTAAAGGACTGGCGGTTCATTGATTTCCCTGATGTGGCTACGGTTGATATGAAGGTTGACAAGGATCTTACCTGTCTAGCACCCTCCACCTCACCTATAATGGCTTCAGAGGGCAGTTGGTCGTTGATTGGGGAGGCGAGGTGCACAGTTTTGTGCACATGCTAGACTCAAAGCGTGGTTCCAGGCATTCATTATGGACTGGGCTACGGTCCAGCCATCGCCTTGTGTATGTTTGATACGCATGATTTCCCAATTAAGCATGAATACATTCGTGCTGGTCGTTGAAGAAATTTGGAGAGACTTCGTTGATGAAACGTGTCTGCTATCCACATGGCACCCATCCTTATTCCTTAAGATTTACAGTGAACATGTGGCGCGTGGATGGAGCTGTGGGTGGTGTAGCGCAAACCACCCATGGTCCATCTGTAGGGGCAGGCGTCCTGTGACTGTCCTCCTAGAGGCCGCAGTGACAGGCAAATCAGGGATCGGATTCCGCAAACTCTATTGCCAGCAACGTTAAAGATTTGTCAAATTAACTGGAATAATCAAAACACTAAGCAGCTACACTCTAAATTTCGTCACCACCTGTATCCTCTACTATTAGGACAGTTATGAGTGATCAAAATACCTCAAATATTGAAAATATTTTGATGTTCAACCATAAGGAACCTGTGATTTTACGATTACGTGTGTATAGATTGTAATGTAACTTAGGATCGACGCACCTCATCAGCTGCGGGCACATTTCTGTAGCTGGAACTGGACTGTCTAGATAGGGAGATTTGTGAACCTTGCAAACTGAGATTCAGCATCAAAGCACAGAAACGTATGATTTGCGCTGAAACAGCAACAAATATGCAAGACGGCAGGTTAGACAAAAACGAGGTGCACCTCAGTTGTTTCGTGTTCAGTAGTAATGCAATTTGCTACTTTTGCTTCACCGCTGTCCGGCGGAGTATTTCTAGGTAAACAGACAAGGGTTAAGATATCAAAGCATGGATGCAGCACATAGTTTTGTGTGAACTTTAGCTTCATAGAAATTTGGGTCTACTTATTTGATAGACCAAGTTTACCGGTATTTTTACCTTGAAATATTTAAGCAAAATGGAAAAACTGCGTTATGGTGAATGTATTAAAACTCCAACGCATTTTATCATGTGACCAAATCAGATGTTAAAGAGGCGAACACGAAACGTTGGGTGATCCGTCTGCATAAATATAATCCTCATAATAAGATCTGTACTAGTCAATATACAATATTTGATGAAAAGCTGTGTATGGTAGATGGCGTAGCTGGACCTCAGCACTTGGTTTGAAAAGAAACGACTATGTTGTGAATTATGATTGAACATAGGAATCATCAGAATTAGTGCAGTACAAGTTTGAGATAGTAGTTCGCTATAATTTAATGATGAATTTGGAGATTATTATAAAAATAAAGAATTAGGGTGAAAGATAGGGTCTTGCCCTGTAACCGTATGGAATCTAAGCATAGTTTAACGTTAACGTACCTATACTTCAGAAATTCTGCAACTAGCCGGTTATAGTACGAAGCAAACGTTGGAGAACAAATGAGGTTCTTATGGGTGTGGTCTGGTTATAGAGCTGTGGTCCTTATATATGTCCTGAGTCTTTTGGGAAAATTATCACCCGGATGCGGAGTGTATACAAGCATTACATAGTTAGGTTGTTCTTCTCGGTCACGAAGATGAGCATGACAAAATGGGTAGATGCATGATTATATTTGTTGTCCAACTTTTCATGCCCTAGGAGTGGAATAACCTTTTTATGCGTGTAAAACAGCAACACATTCTGCATCATCACTATGTGCACCATGAAAGGTCATTTGACCGGAACCCGACTTCTAATATATCAGACATAGTACGGAAACATGGAAAAATGAAACATGGGATATTTATGGATAAAAAGTTAAAGCCCAACGAACCCTACGAGCCCCACAGCATGGTCTGGGAGAGAATCGAGCGTACAAAAATAAACATTGCCGAATTACGAAGCTTGCGTCATTAAAAGCACATTAATTTTCACAAACAAAAATGTTCCTCAACGTCGAATTTATTTTGTGGTTCCTAAACATGGCTACGGCAGCCTGATGGCGACACTCTCACAAAAGCGAGGCGCCGGTTCCAATGAACCCCATTGTTATATGTAACCGTTCGAGGCAACGTACCTTTGCTAATGAGCATAAAGTATTTTGATGAAGTGATATTGATTCGTCCCAGATGGTTACAAGCCAAATAGTCCAATCCCCATTTGCTGTGGAAGCACCAGACGATCGGTTTCCCCTACTGGGTCTCGCCAGTATCGCACATTCACTCGTTTCTGAGCTTCACCGGATTTTTGGGTTAGATTACGTGGTGGTTTAGCAGCCGAGACGAATCTACAACAATTCATCAAAAATCCTCCCATTCATTAGTAGCCAAATATTCGGCCTTTTGGTCTTAATATGTGGTCTTGGTCGCTAGAGGCTAGCCATTGTGCTCGCAATGGTGGTCACATGCATGGCAGTGGAGGATAGGTTGCGCTATATCCGAGTTAGCCCACCGCAAGTTGTGACGGTTTGCCAACCGTTCCTGTGGATCAGTGGCATAAGTTGCTTGCTAGTTGGCGTAAGTTGCAAGCGGTCACTGGATCGGTTTCCTGCAGGGAACCGAGGGAACGTGCACGAATGAGGATCCCCAATAAGGCGCAAAGACCGTTTGTTTCTTTTCCAGATTGGGTCCATGCTATCTGGCTTGTAAGAACTTGGACAAATCAGTACAGTCTGCAAATTGGTGTTTAAGGTCGTGGCCTCATCTCCTTCAAATCGCCGTTAAAAATTGCAGTCTCGACTAGGCAACACATCGCTGCGCCAAAATTCTCTCTTGGCAGAGTTTCCTGTTTCATTGACTTTGCACATCCACTGAAGGTTAGCGGTTTCAGTCTGTTTTGTTAGCTTACTGCTTGGTGGATATGGATGTTCAGATACTCAAGTCGAAGGAGTCCACTTGTCTGACTGATAGCAGCTTATTTCACACTAGGTGACGCCGTAAGTTGTGCGACCACATAATCAAACAAATACCAGTCAAATACGTTGTTGCAAAAAACAGCGAACGGAATCCAGCTCGTAAAATCAGTTGAAGGTGTGATGGGAGTATACACTCGAACGAACGTGCGGTGCCAGCCCAGCAAGGAAGCCGTTAGGCTGCCACAAGCAAAGGCGGCAGCTGATTGGACGCTCGCACGTTTCTCGCATGCACACTGATTGGCTAACAGTTGGACGCATTGTAATGAGTTTGTTTGACTGAATCAAAGGAAAAATGTCATGCACTCACAAAAGTCGTTAATTATGGATCCCACTAGCTGTATACACCGATATGTTTCACTCGCCCTCTGCCTGCGTTTTCGCCTGATCCTATTGTTTGCAGAATATTGGTTTTGTCCCTGAAGGACCGACCTTTTACAGAAAGTACTTCCGTTTGAAAATATTGTGTGCGAATTGTGATGAATCATGGCATTCACTGCGAGCAGGAGCATACATCGTGGACCTGATAAATTAGACCAATTCTTGAACACATGAGGCAATTAAAGCACTGTTTCTGCACTCGATAGATGATAAGAGCAAAGTAATAACAAAATGACACCAGGCCGCTGAGTGTCCTGTTACTCGTTTCTACATAAGATTCGAGGTGGTACCTAGATCGATTGGAACAATCAGCCAGGTGAAAGTTTGTGTACAAATTTAAATTTGATCGGAAATTTGATGCTAAGACAGGAGCAATCATTATGTTAATTATTAGCTAAATTGCATTACTAGGAAGTAACGAGGTTTATATTAAAACATGATTAGCTTGTTGTGTATGCAAATAACGGCTATTGAGCGTGAAATACGGTGTTGGTCAAATAGTTATAAATTTATTGAATTCAGCAAATTTTTCGTATATCTTCACATTTCTCATAAGAATCAAATAGTTTTGACGTAAATTGATCGCGTTTTACAAGAAAAACCCATGCCGATTAAAAATTCATCTAGGCTAGTATTTTGTAAATGATACGTTGCCAATTTTCAGAGGTAACACGCAAAAGCATGCAGTGAATGAGTTTTACAAATGATCACCAGTTGGTTGATTTTACATGTACAATAGTTATGTAAACCGACGGTGACCATTTCTCATAAATTTGTTATTTACTGCTGCAGTCTACATTTCTGGATAACATTTGCTTGGTTTCGGTTCAATTTATAATTATATTTAAGTACTTACTTATGCGTGGAAGAATTTTGGTGAGTATTTTTGTTCGTCGCAATCAGCCGACAATTTAGATATGTCGACCAGCTGTCCGGAAAAGCGGACTAGTTAGCAAGAGCCACTAGCAGTCATGGGCTCGATCCTCCGCAGATGACCGAAGGATGCGCACCACTGATGAGCCCCAATAGGGTGAAACGGCCGTCTGGTGCTTTTCCGGATAGCTGGTCGACATATCTGAATTGTCGGCTGATTGCGACGAAAAAAGATACTCACCAAAATCCTTCCACTCATAAGTACTACCCATTCGCCCTTACGGATTCCACAAAATGCTATGTCGATTCATAGTTGCTGTAACCGGAAAGTCCTGACGCCGGAAAGCCAACCGTTGTCATCTGCGTGGCAGGTGCCTGCATGGCAGTGGAGGACGGGTCGGGCTATATCGCATTTACCAAACAATTCTTGATGGTCGGATACCGTCCTCCATGGCGCAGTTGCATAAGCTGCGGGCTAGTTGGCAAGAGCCACTAACAGTCATGGGTTCGATCCTCCACAGAGGACCGAAGGATGCGCACGACTGATGAGCCCCAATAGGGCGAAACAGCCGTTTGGTGTTTTTCCGGATAGCTGGTCGACATATCTGAATGGTCGGCTGAGTGCGACGAACAAAAATTTAAGTACTTTAAATTTTTGAGATATCTTAATTAACTGCACAACCGTATTGAGTGATTCTCTCGATTGTATTACCAAACTAATTGGTAAATTACGCGACGACCCTAAAAGCGTGAACAAATTGAAATTTTGCTGAAATTTGTCAAGGGATTGGACATTCCTACCATGGTTGGTGTTAGTCCAGAGTCTGTACGCCAAACTGGAATGAACTTGCAAAAGAATTTACAACTGTTCCCTAAATCTTCCGGTTAATGTGATCGCAGAAGAGCAACAACTGATCGGTACGACCCACTACCTTTTAGGCAATGCCGAAAGAATCACAAAGCATCTAGCAGACAGCTACAAGGGATGTTAGAACAGCGCGGTGTTGCAGTAAGTTCTAGTACTGTAATCAAACGACTTTTGAATTATGGACTTTGCGCTTGCCGACCTCTAAGAAAGCAAGCGTTGTCCAAATAAGTGGAAAATGGCAGGAATAAGCCAATCAGCTTGACAAATGGTCAAAAAAGGCTGAGAGTGAGTAACAGGCGAAGCCTTTAGCATTTACATTGATTGTCGAGAAACATTTTGTCTACATTACTTGGGCGTTTTCAGCAGCTTTTCTTTGTTTTATTTTAGGTGGTTTTTAGCAGTGCGTATATTATCCAGTGCTCTGACCAGCAATCTCTCTATGTCTGGCGAGTGGCTGCAGAACAGATGAAAGAAGATTGTGTCGTTCGAATTAAGCATGCAATGCAACTCATCGTAGGAAGCGTTATAAACATCTTCGGAATCAGTCGGCGCTACATCGTTCTGCGTACCATGAACCCATAGCAGTAGGAAACATTAATAGGGATCCACTTGATCCCTCAGCTGCGCGTATGTGCAAAGAACACATGATTTACAGGGAGAGGAGGCTT